GAGTGTTTCCAGTGAAACAAGGCAAGTGTTTTGATTATGAGAATAGAAACCTCCTTTGTTGGTATGACTGCAACCCAGCTTACTCTTTCCAGAGTGTCTGCCATGGACGAAGGAGAGCAAATCATACATGAGAGATCTCACGAGGCCCTTTTCAAAGGGGATGGGGTACTGACTTGACTTCTTCATGCAGCTTTCTTCTCTCTGCATGTTGGGTCTGCTTAGCAAGTGATCTCTCAGGGATGATACCCCAGCCTTGTTGGCTGTTGGAACAGATAAATGACTTCAGGTTCATCAGGAAAAAATGTTAGCTAAGGGAGATTAGTCCATGACAGTATTTGTTACTCTGCCTTTCTTATTTAAAAGTTACAGCTCTTTTTCTGCTTACATAGGCTGGTTGTGGTAGCTGAAAAATCCATAATCTCTCTTGGTCCAGGTATACTTATTTCAACTCTGTATCTGCAAACTGAGTGTCCTGGTAAACAACTGTAAATAACCTGTCTTCAAACACCTCTCCTGATTGAAATGAGTAAAAACATATTTTTAATGTAATTTTTTAGAAAAATGGAGAATTTGAGTCAAGTTCCTGAGCTGTTGCAGAAGAGAAGGGGGTAAGGCTGAGCTCTCCTCATGAGAGATGAAGTGGAGGTTACTCAGAAAGTGCCTTTTGTCCTTATTCTTTGTTCTTAAAGATAACAAACAAGGGGTTTTTTTGCTATTAACTAAAATTTTGCTGGTCATTTGTGCTTTGGGCACTGATTTTCCTTTTACTGTAAGAAGTCTATATCCAGTGTTTCTTTGTTTCTTTTGCCTTGCGTTAAGCAACCTGATGGAAACTGCTCGATGTGTCTGTCTGTATGAAACGTTCAGGAGTTATTTTGCTGAGTATGAACCAACTCTTGAGCCTTTTTTTTTTTTTTTTAAGAAACTTTCCACACTTCTTAAAATAGCGTGTTCACAACATATTTTGCTCCGCTGTTCTGTGCTGTTTTCTTCCCTCCCACCCCCTGCTCCCTCTCCATAACAGCCTGGTGGGTGAACTCGAGCAGCAGCTCGTGTTCTACCTCTTCCCTGTTTCTTTTGTAATCTGTTTGCTGAGCTGGCTGGCCTCCAGAAGTGCATAAGTGTGTTTATACATCCAGCCTAACAATAGTATCATAACACCAATTTGTTTAACCTGGGCTGGAAATAACAATCTAAATATTGTGAATCAAAGAGAAAGCAGTCATTTGTATATGCTTCTCTGCCCCGCCAGCTCACTTCTGCTGGGGGTGATAAAATCACTGAAACTTCTCCTTATGTTCTGTGGGAATTTTCTCAATTCTGTTGGTATGATGTGATACCTCCTGTAAATGCTAAAGGAAGTTCAGCTGGAGCTTCTCCTCCCAAGCTGCATCCCATGCTGTCATTGCTTTGCTCAGGCAGAAGGTGTTTAATTTGTGTGCCCAGTTCAAGACACACACGGTAGTGCAGAAAATCATCCATCCCTGCCTCTGTGAGGAGGGCATTCATAGTAGAGCAAACGATTAACTGTCAACCATTAAACTGTGCTTTTATTACAGTATTTGAGCAGAGTTACGAGAGGTACAAAGCACACAATAAAATACTGGTTATGCTTATTTAGTAGTCACAAAGCAACTGGCAAGTTGATGGATCAGCATATTTTGGTTAAGGTGCCAAGACGTTGATATATATGTGCTTTTTGTGTTTATTGTTACTTTGATTCAGCGACTTTGATCACCAAAATAACTTTCCTCTAGATTGGAATGATTTGGACTGTGTCCCTCAGCAGCTGATGTGAGCAGTCCTAGCAGTGTTTATACTCCAGCCATGGAGTAGCTTCACTGGAGTGGCACCTGCCTGGCCGGGAGCTGGAGCTGCCTCCAACAGCACCAGAAACGTGACTTTGGTGGTGTCCTGCCAGTGCAGTTGGTGACAGTGAAGATACCGTCATTCCACATCAGTTGTTTCCAAAATGATGGTTTGACATTGTTAGTGCTGGTCTTAGTTCTTCTCTCATGATTCAAGTTGGGAATAAGCAGCTTCGGCTTTGTGGATTGATGGAAGGAAGAGGCTCGCAGCAGAGGCAAAACCAACGTGTTCAAATGTGAAGGTCAGCTGAGTATTGCTTAGAGTAGCTATTTAATTTTTTTTTTCTGCGTTTTTGTTAGCCTTTGAGGTCTGGGAGGGAGGGAGGATGGGTGGTTGGCTGTGGAAGTAGGGTAGCCATCCACTTGGAGACCTCAATACGTGCATTACATCTGTTTAGCATTGAGGGTAAACGACAGCGTAGGCAAGCTGTGTGAGACCTGATGTTGGGTGTAAAAGTGCCCTCCTCTGCCAAATCTCACCTGTTTGATACAGAACACTGTGCCCTCCCTCGTGCCAGGACTGCTGGCTGTGCTGGTGAGCAGGAGGGAGTTGTGCTCAGAGAAGCTGGAGAGTGGCAGTGGCCTGACCAGCAGCATCCCTCTCACCTTGCTGTACTGCTCAGACAAGTGGATCCTTGTCACACAGCCTAATATAGGTGACACCAGAATTCCCTAGGGGTGGAAAGGCTTTGGATGCTGCTGTAAGTGGAGGGGAAAATGAGAAGCTTCCTTTTTTGGTTTGGAATTTGATACATTGTTACAACAGCATTTTTTTAATATATTAAAAAATAAGACACACAGTGTTGTGTGTCTTACTGGGTTCATTAAAATGTGATATGTATTTTTAAGACGTGGAAAACTTTGTACAAGATATTGTACAAAATTCTCCTGTTTCTGATCTCATGCCTCTTGTGGTTGTCCCAAAGCCCTTTCCATTTTAAGGATTAAAAAATAGTCATCTTTAGAAATAGAATACACTTTTTCAGCATCATGGTACAGGCATTGAAAAGTAACCATTGTTTATGGCAAATCTGGCAGTGATTATTACTTGTAAATGGCTCCAGAATGAAAAGGGTTAAGTTACGAGTTGAGATAAAAATACCTGCTAAATTAGGTTGTTTTGTCCATTTGAGGTTACCCGCTATTAAAAATATTTTCAAACTTCTGCCTGTGTACCTTATAATTCTCTTAGATGACAAACAAAATGTAGAAAAACATGTTTTCCCCTTTCCACAGTTACATTGTTCCTGAAGTGCTGGCAGTGGTAAGAGCTCCCAGCCAGTAAACAAAGTAGATGCCGTTTAGATGTATGGAGAGCCAATAAATAAAGTAACAAGGCGTCCAGTTTTAGAGTTTCTTTGCTTCCTGTAAGTTAAAAATTAAACAATTTTATGGTAAGTGAAGCTGGTTATGAAACTCTCACAAAAAAGGTGTAAAAAGCAGTTGGATAAGGCAGAGCTTGCTTTTTATGTCAAAGAGCAAATCCTAAAAACGTCAAGTACTTTGCAAACCAAATGAAGTAAAGGGACTGTAACACTTGAATCTGCTAAAAAGTACTAAAGAAATGATAAAAATCTGATGGGGTTTAAGTTCTCATAGCAATGTTGGTGGTTTAAGGATAGATTTTTTTATTTAATCTATTTTGAATGTTTTTCTCTGTTCCGTGATCTGATCTGATACAAATGAAGAAATGAACAATCTCACTGTACAGAGCAAACAGCAGGCTAATTGTTCACTTTTTATCTAGTGCACAGAGGAGGAGGGGAGTAGTTTGTGATGAGATCAGAAACTCTAGGCAATTTTTGTTTTCCATGAATCTCTTAGTTACTCATCAGAGTGATGCTGTTATTAAAAAGGACAAACAACAACCACCACCTCCACGAGGATAAATGCTTAAAAGAAGAAATCCTTCTTGGCAGCAAAAGGTGGAGATGAATGATGATACTTAAAATGTCTTGAGTTTGTGGGCATTTCCTAGATTACAGAGATGATCTTACAGGGCCTTTTGCCTCATCTTGTTCTTTATCCAAAGAAATGCCTGGCGTAAGAATGCATTTTCAGTGCATTTAATGTTGACATGATGCCATTTAAATTATTTATCCTTAGATTATACCAAGGATGTTTGTATTCATCATCTGTCCAGATGCACAAAGCATGACTTTTCTTATCATGCTTGGATGAAGCCTTAGATGTGGGATGCTTTTAACTGAGCTAAATGTGAAACACTGGCCATTTGGTAAACTAAATGCCCTTTGTCTGTAATGTGGTGAGATGGAGGGAGCTGTTCAGCTGGGAGCTGCAGCACAGCTGTGGTAGCTGGCCTTGGAAATGAGGGCTAAAAAACAAGTTCCTTCTTTCATGATACAGCTACATAAAGATATTTTTATTTTTCTGTGTTTTCTTACTATTTGCCCTATGATACTTACAGCAAAAGATTATTAGTCAAAATGACGAGAGCTGTTGAAGAAAGATTTCTTCCATCAATTGTTGAAGGAAACACTTCATTTTTAGGGAAAAAGACATAAAGCTTCCTATCTTTTCACTTGCTTAAACTTAGCATACAAACTGAATTCAAGGTGAGTCTGGGAAGAAGCATGATTGTATCTGTCACCTTCTATTTCTTTTGTTTTCACTTCCCCCCATCAAATAGGCAAACTCCTTTTTTTTTTTTAATTATTATTACTATTTTTAATGAAGATTTCATGGACCCTGGGGGTTGGCCATTAATTTTAGGCCATTGTGTGAATGCTAACTACTTAAAAATAGTCATGGAGCCAACCTTGCTTCCTCTCAGGGTTTATCAGTTGTAAGCATCTTCTTTTTATCCCATGTGTAAGCAAAGACCTCTCTGGATTGATGATTTGATCTGTATAATGGAAAATCTAGGCAGGATATCCTTTCTCTGTTATTCCTTGGTGTGATGGCATCAGGTCGTGTCTTAAAATGGGGGAAGGGAAAAGGAGGATCCTGTTAGCAGACAGGGTAGTTTCAAGGGACTCTTGAACTGCAGGCTTGCTGAGGACCTCATGTTTACTTCCCTTGTTGTTGAACCATTTGTGCTTCAAGCTGCTATGACAACATGTCAGTGGTGGCTTCTGCTGCTGTGCTCAAAAGCTTGCTCGTGTGCTCTAGGAATGTTTTGTATTTGGAAGTTGTTGTTGGATACCGAGGGGTGCGAGGGGCTTCTCTGGAGTTATTTTGAGCCCCAGCAGACCTTACTGAAATACTGCATTGACAAGGTAGATCCAGTCTTAGCCTGCAGAAATGCAGTGCCTGAGCTTCCCCCTGCCAAGAAAAGAACGTTTTGAGTGTAATTCCATTGTTAAAATGCCTCTAAAATGAAGCGGTGCCTAACATGCAAGAGAGGTACAGCCAATGCTTGATGAAATGGGGGGGGGTAGCAAATTCCTTGGGAATTACTTTGGAACATTATTATGACCTTGCATTTCAGCATGCTTGCAACTATTCTGCTATAACATTCATAGCTTGAAATTTTGCTTGTTGTTTGCAAGCAAGGCTGAGGAGGTTACCAGCTCCTGTGATTGTGGAAGAACCTTTTAGTCATCTTTACACAGGAGTCTGTGTAAAAATTACACTGACTCTTTATCCTCACCCCTCTGCCCCTTCCCTTCTCCAGAAAACACAGTATAGCTCTTCAGAGCTCTTCAGAGAGTCCCTCTCTGCATTGGTGCATTCTGCTCTTGCCACTGTGACCTGGGTGTGTTGTGGTGTGACTGCAGAGGAGGAACCTGAGGGCTCTGGGGAGGGATGGCAGGGATGGGATGTGATTCTGGGTTTGGCAGGTACTTGGAGTGCAAGACAAAAACGTTAAAACTAATAAAAAGAAATGCTGTAATTGCCTGTTTGGACTTTGGAATCTGTAACCCCCAAGTGTTCCTGTCAAGATGTTGGTACAGTTTGAAGCACGTGAATATTCTACTGTTAATGAAGATGTTTATGGGATCATTGCTTTGGCTTTTATGTGAGGAGAAGATAAAGATCTTCCCTTCTACACTACAAAGTGTATCTCAGCTACTTAGAATTAGCAAAGGTCCTTTTTGTATCTGTGACTTCCCATCACCGTGATTTCTTTATAGCTTTAACTGCAGTGTTTAAATGGACACTTACATTTCTCACAAGAATATCATACTATTCTATGGGACATATGCCTATTACTGATCCCAAAGCTCAGATAAATAAAAATATTTTTTTGAAAAAGAGGTAACGCTGTAAGAAACTTCTACTGCTGTTGCTTACACTCTTGGAAAACTAAGTTCGTTGTATATAATAGCCTAATGACCATGGCTTAAGCACAGAATCTCAACAAATGTAAGAATTTGGACCTCTGTGCTCTGAAAAGTGCATTTCACAGTTTTTAGCCTCGTTCAACCCAGGATTTTGAACAAATGTTCTAAGTCTATGTAGATAACATGTTTTAAGCAACTGTTGAAAAACCAAAGCAAGGGAAGTTTTTCAAATCTTAAGCCCACCCCTCATGTATTAAATCATTCGAAATCTTACAATTGCTGTTATTTTCAGTCCATTGTGTCTGCTTCCTGTTGGTCAAAGGTTATGAGGATAGGGTGGTGTAGAGTGAGGTGGGAAGCCGGCAGGAAAAAGAAAGCTTTGCTTTTTTGGGGTAGACACAACTACAGAAATGCCCAGGACTTTGCTTAAATTTTCTGAAGACTCAAAGAGGTAAACTAGAAAAAAAGTGTTCTTGATGTTGTTTATTTTTCTGCTTTGTAACTTAGGCATATGGCAAATGAATTGGAGTAAGTAAACAAAGGCTTCCGTAGAGAATGTTATCTTTGCACTCGAAAAATGGGGTTTTTTTTTGTTCAAAAAGAGGTGTAGCTTTCGTTTTGATTTACAAGTTGACTCGGTAAATTCTGTTTCTGAAGCACGAGCCTAAACCTGGTTTGTTCACTCCTATCACTGACTCCGGGGGGGGAAAAAAAAAAAGAAAAAAGGTTTTATTTGTATTGTTATTCAAGAACTGTCTGTAGTTTCTTGGCTGTTACCACTGGTGCAAGTCCTTCAGTTTTGTCCCGGGGAGGCTCACAGGGAGCTGCCGGGAGCAGCCAGACGTGGCTGCCCAAGGCTTGGTCCCGGCGCGCAGGTCCCTCCAGCCGGGCAGTGCTGCGTTTGTGGGGAGCAGTTGTGGCCACGCCGTTTGAGGCATCTGGTTTGAGAACAAATCTGGGTTCAGAACATTGCTCTGGGGTGGGCAGAAAAAATGATAAGTGAATTGGTTGTGCTGGTTAAGTTCTACAAAGCTGTTGATCCTAATAATATGTGGCACAAGGGTACTGTTACAGTCTAGGAAACAAACAGTAGAAAACTTTTTTTATGTGAGCTGATGAGAGCTACAGGAGTGTTTAATAAGCTAATCCAAGTAATTATACTGAAGCATCCAAATTTTCAAGTATGCTGGTATGTAGTTGAATTTGCTATTCATGGTGTTTCCAAATTTCTTCACCATTTTGTTACTACCAGTGAGTAATTTGAGTCTAAAAGTATATTGTTTACCACGTTGGAAAAACAATATTTTTGTTACAATTGTAACTCATGTTAAGGAGCATAGTAAAAGGAATCTATAGATCATAATGTCTTGCAAAGAATTTTGACTTTGTGCTTGTTTGTTTTGAAATTAATTTTTCTCTGGAGTTCTTTAGGTCAGTTCTGCTTAGAAAAAAACTCTGCTGGAGCCTAGGTGGTAAATATTTTCAGCCATGTAAAGGGAGAGTGTGTCTATCAGACATAATGCTGACTTTATCTTAGCTTTTACTTTCCTTAGCAGCTCTCCCTGCCATCACACGGTTCATGCACATTTCATATCTGATGATTTGTAATGGAAAAGTTAATAGTTTTAGTCTTAAAAAGTACACACTGCGATTGCCATTCCTAATTCTTCCCCTTCCTTAGAATAAGGAATTCTTTGCAATGCCTCACAGCATTTAAAGAAGTACTGTGTTGATTCTCCTTGTAAAAGTGGCAGAACAATAGGTTTCCTTTAGCTTTCCCTTTACTGAGTAAATGGCTTGAGTAACTACCAGTCCTTTTATTGCTGTAGTAGTGGCCCACTCATTTATAAAAGAGGCTCCTGCTTTGATCTGCAGATACCTGATTTGCAAAGATGTCAGAGAATGCACAGCCCTGCTCTCAGAAGGAAGGGACAAGGATGGACTGTCAACATACTCTAAGTTTAATTTATAGGGCTTATTGAAAACACAGTCTGAATTTCCATGGGAGACTTTTCCATGTGTGTTATGGATGTATAGAAGCTTCTTTAATACAACTAGTAGGTTAAACCAGGCTAGTTAGTCAGGAGGCAACTTGTAGAAATTATGGGGTACCTTTGTACTGTCCTCCTTAGTTCATTGCTAAATCTCCCTTAATTCATCATTCCCTATTGAAGTTGGAGAGACTGCTGCTTCTGTAGCTCAATTGCCTTTTCTTTTAGAGGAACTGCAAAGCACAGGGTTCAAGCCTTATAAATATTTCGTTGAAGAGATGATGTGCAAAATGCTTGGCCTCTGTCATGTGTGGAAACCTCTTACTTTGTTTGCAAAATGAGCATGCTCGAGTGATCCAAACACGAAGCAGTGAAGCATGTCTTGCGTGCTTGTTGCAACTGCAGTGTCCTTTAGAGGATCCAAAACCGTGTTAGGAATTGCATGTTTTTACAAGGTTCTAGTGTCTTGTCTTGCTTTTCCTTGTAAGTGTTTGACAGATGATGAAGATAGATATCTACATGGGTGAGTAAGAAGGAAAGAAAGAGAAAACTCTCAATTTGTACAAAATATTACAAGAAGCACTTGGGCTTGTGATCTGGAGGAATGGGGATTTTTCACACCTTGTTACAAACACCACTTCAAAATTACTGTCCTCCCAGGATATGAGAAATGAATAGACAAAAATATATGGTGAAATAGTTCATCTCTGGCCATTAGTGGGAAAGCAGTTGTTGATGTCAGTGGAGTGTAGGCTTGACCTTTCAGCTTTGGACTTACCGTGTCTTTATAAATGCTAAAGTTTTTTATTTTTCTGTGTGTTGCTTTCATGCAACTCATCAAGAGGGTCTTGTCAGCCCAGTAGTAATCCTTATGGTAAGTACTGTACAGAAAAAAAAAGGGCAGAACCTACCCCAAATGTTTTGCTTTCTTAGATTAAGACTTGTGGGGGGAAGTGGCTTCTGATTAAAAGCTGATGAAAAGACTGAAGCAACTTTAAAAAAAAAAAAAAACAACAAACAAACCTTTGTCTAGTGAATACACAAAAACAACATTTCTTAAATAAATCCATGTGATGCAAAGCCAAATTGTAATTTGGTTGGGTGATCATAAGTACTGTTAAAGAGGCTGATGCTTAGGAGGAATCTGAAGGAAGGAGACGTCGTGCCCGTGCTTATTGGTTTGGGAAGCCTTCAAAAGTTAAAGGAAGAAGAGAGATGCAGCAGAGGAGGAAAAGTGAGCCAGATCTAGTATTGGTGGTAGAGCATAAAGCAATAGGAGGTGACTTGCAAGTGGCAGAGAGTCAAGAAAGATGGATTTTCCTAAGAAGAAAAGGCCTAAAAATAGGAAAAGAGGCCCCAAACTGCAATAAAGCAAGTCAATAAATGGAGAACTTTAAAATAGAAGATGATGTGATCAGAATGAGAGAAGGGAGATTCTCCTATTATTTTTAATAGGTTGGATGTGGGAAAGAGTAGGGAGGGAGACGGTCAGAACATGCTTGTGATCAGAGAACAAACCACAAAATTTCTGAAATGTTCTGAGAAACAGGGCAGCAAAGCAAAGACCATGTAGATATGTGAGTAAGGGACCTGCAAGGGATACACTTCCTATGCTGTGACAAACCTCATGCCATGTCAAATGGGATGGAGCACTGAGAGGAGATGGTGAAGCTACTGCCAGTGATAGGGAACATGTTCCTGGAAAGACCGTTTGGGAGTTATGTCTTAGCCACACGGGATGGGTGGTGAAGTACAACAACTAGAACTGAAAAGGTAGGTTTGCAAGTGATCAGAAGCAGCAGAACTTTTATAGGCATTAGAATTGGATTAGAGGATGTAGGAATATAGAGACATGGTCTGGTCACTGGTCCTAGCTTGGAGACAGTGAAATGAGGGCTCGGGTCCTGGCACTGCTGCAGATCTCCTGTTTTATTGCTCTGCATAGCTCCGAATAGGCTCTCCTTTGGTGAAGACGTGGTGGTAATTCTCTGGTGTGCAGGA